ATATATATATATATATATATATATATATATATATATATATATATATATTCTGTTTATGTAGGCCATATACTGTATTCTATATACAGTACCAGTCAAAAGTTTGGACACGCGAATGGGAAGTGTCCAAACTTTTGACTATACTGTAGTATAATATAGCCTACACATATAGAATATCGGCCGATATATCGTATCGGTTTTTTTTACTCCCCAATATCGGTATCGGCATCGGCCCCCAAAAAACCCATATCGGTCGGGCACTAAAAGGAGGGTTTACATTTATTCCATTTACATGTCTAAATTTACCCACCAAAATTACCATGCTCAGTCAGAAAACATCAAATTCAATATATTCTTAAAAACTGGGTATTTAAAAAAAAAAAAAGGGATAAATATTGTTTTTCACTGAAAGCTAATTGGAAATATCCACCCAAAAATTAGAGGTAAAATCACAGCAGTAAAAAGGGTCTTCAAGAGTTCCAGGAAAGGAAGAACAAAATGAAATCTCTTCTGTAAAAAGTCCAGTGTATATATTCTAAACAGGAAATTTTATGTCTCTTTAACCTTTGGGGCAACAGGATCAGTGTCAGACAGAGTGTCATATATAGTGTGAAAGAAACCTCAACATCGCTAAAGCACTGAAAATCACCAACATGCTTAAAATCTGTAAATTAATGTTCTTACACTTATTGTCAAATAATTTACTGGGAAAAAAAACACTGTCTCTTTTATCAGTTTATGGATCCTTGAATTGAAGTGTCAATTTCTTAAAGTCCCCCTGTAGTCAAATATTTTATCCTTTAAAACTTATCCTTGATCATCAAAATGACATATTTAAATGTTTTTTCTTGTGAAAATAATTTTCTCATGCCTTAAAATAGCTTGAATGTAACTCAACACCCTTGCCTCATTTACTATACGCTGATTTATGAATATACAAATTAGTCCCGCCTCCACTCAGTCACACCAGCCAGCGCCTCCTGATCCACTGAACTGTAGTAAATGCAAAACAATGGCATACACGGATAATGACTGATAAAACTATGTTTTTGCTAGCGGACAACTACAGTGAATACTGTAACATTCGTTAAAGTAAGTTACTTGGCGATGTTGTGTCCTAAAATGACTTGAAGACTCGAATGCAGCTGTTTGTGATTCTTAACATGTATTAAAAAGGGTCGTGTTTAGTCACTATTTAGTGTGGTATTTTTTTGACTATTCACTCATCATGACAGTAAAATAGGGCATTCTAAGTCAATATACTGCAGTATTTCCTCTCTCAATCAGTAGAAAATATGGTTAACACCTGGTCATGCATGAAAAAAAAATACTGTCATGTACCGTGAAACCAGTATAATTTTGAAAAATACCGTGATACAAATTTTTGGTCATACCACCCAGCACTAAGAGCACTAACATATATATGAAGAGTTTGGTTCCAAAATGCGATAAAACGCCATTTAAAAAAAATTGAGTTCCTGCCAAAATCAGTATTCTATCTGGTCGGTATTGAAAAGTTAATTTTTAATTTTACGCAAAATGCGATACCCGCCGTTTTATTCTGTCATGTTTTCTCCCTATCTTTGCGACAAATGACAAATGCCAGTCTCCCTTCTCTGCAGAATGTGATACATCCGCTCAACCAATCACAGCGCACCATTCCACGCATTGTAAATGGTAACTGACAAGCTACACAATATCGCATTCATAATCGCAGGTGAATCGCCTTCGATTATGAACGTGATATTGTGTAGCTTGTCAGTGATATACGGCTCTGTGTAGTAAATGCCGATCCATCTGAAAGCACGTGATGGAGATTTACTACTAATCACAGAACTGGCTTTACTGACGAGATGCGCATGACAACATTAAGAGGAAGGGGGACATTAGTCCGAGCCCTGAGGATGGTCTCTGGTCAATGATATCGATTAATCAGAGTCAGTGTATAGCTTGTGATAATCCAGCAGTTGCTTTCTCTCACACAAAGACACCTGAGAAGGTGGGAGTGTTTGTGGATTATGAGGAGGGTCTAGTCTCGTTTTATGACGTGGGCTCCAGCTCTCATATCTACTCTTTTACTGGTCAGACTTTCACTGAGAAACTTTATCCATACTTTGGCCCAGGCCTTAATGATGCAGGTAAAAACTCAAACCCACTTATAATTTCACCGGTCAGTTGAGTGATTTCCCTGAAATATGAAACATATGAAAAGACTAACTATGCATGTGCAGTTTTTTTTAAGGAACAGAATATGAAGAGTTTGGTTCCAAAACGCGATAAAAGCCATTTAAAAAAAAAAAAACTGAGTTCCTGCCAAAATCAGTATTGTATCTGGTAGGTATTGAAAAGTCATTTTTTAATTTTGCGCAAAATGTGGTATCCGCTGTGTTATTCTGTCATGTTTTCTCCCTTTCTTTCCAAACCGCGACAAACGCCAGTCTCCCTTCTCTGCAGAATGCGATACATCTGCTCAACCAATCACAGCGCACCATTCCACGCATTGTAAACAGTAACTGACAAGCTACGCAATATCGCATTCATAATCACAGATGAATCGCTTTCGATTATGAACGCGAATTGCATAGCTTGTCAGTGATCTACGGCTCTGTGTATTAAATGCTGCTCCATCTGAAAGCACATGATGGAGATTTACTAATCACAGAAACTGTTTTACTGACGAGATGCGCACGACAATCGTGCAGCCCTAAAAAAAATGAATAATTTTGACTGCATTGATGAACCTGTGGTGGTTTCTGCGGTGGGAAAGAAACGTAAGCTATTAATAAGATTATTGGCCAAGTTCAGAGGCTGTCATATGTGGATCAACTTTGTTATGTATTGTTGTACGGTTTCAATATGAAAAATAACTTTTATATTGATTCAATGGATTTATTGCATTTTGGGAAAAATAATCAGTTTTTATAATAAATCTTTGAAAATCAAAATCTGGATTTTAATTTTTTATGTTATTATATCCTAAAGATGCTATGTGAAAGTTTGAAACCGAACATAGTGGTTTTCATCTCGCCACTTTCTTGGTAAAGAAAACACATTTTTACTCAAATTAATCAAAATGGATTTATAGCGTTTTGGAACCAAACTCTTCAT